TCGTACCATTGATCGGGCCTGGAGGTGCCGCTTTTCCCGCCATCTCGGCTTTTGCGTGTACTTGCTGGCATACTGCTCGCATTGCCTCAAAATGGACTTCACGCGGCCCGTCTCCGCACACCATAACACTCACTGTAATCCCGCGTAATTCCGCTTATTTACCGCCTGCTCGGACCGTCACGGTCGGATGTGCGGAGATGCTTCCAAGCCCGCAGCAAGCCGTAAAAATAGTATGTCCAATAGTTAATCGCGCTTATTTAATATTTGCCGCCGGCTCCTTTGGGTGCTCCGTGCGGATGGCTCCGAGTGCGTTGAAATACCTCCGATATAGGTCGCAAACACCCATACACTGACTCGGTGGTGGATGGCCAAGCCTGCCCGTTATTATTTGTACACCTGCATGAGTATGCAGGAGACACCCGTTCAATTCGGGTTCGAGCCATCCGGTGGCTAGCTCCATTTTTTTATTTGCCGCCGAACATTCTATAGATTTAATTCATTCTCATCTGTTGCCGGTGCTCTCCTCTAATTTCTTCAACCAACCTATACTACTAATTTTTCGAGACGATGTACTCCGCGAATACCTTCGACATGTTCGAATGGTGGGTGGAAAACAAATATTACCTTAAAGGTGGCTCCTGTACAGCTCCATATCTCTTACCGGCTCGGTAGCGGACTGCCTGCACCTGCACCAATTAAAATGAATTGTAGGTACGCGTACCTGACGTCCTTTCAACTCGGGCTCGAGCCATAGAAGATGTCGGAGGCATGATTTCTTTTCTCAACTAGATCTTCGCTTCTCGCAATTTGCAACTAGATCTTCACTCCGAAATTTTGGACTCACGTATTCTCCACATCCTACCTTCCACTCCATTCGAAGTAGACAATGTAAGGGGAATCAGAAATGGAAAGGCACGCATGGCCTTGAGATGAGCAACATATATTAGCCTGCCAAGTTAGCTGCATATCGGCTCGGTGGCGGATGGTCCGCACCTGTATTCAATATTTGGTGATAATATCCTGAGGCAGGAAATGCCCGTTCGACTCGGGCCCGAGTCATTCTGAGTTTGCTGAGCACTTTTTTCTTGCTGTTGGGGAACTCGCCGCTGCACTTGAAATTTTTAACCAGAAATGTCACACACCTATTCAGACCTCAACCACACGCGGGGAAAATCAGCAAGCAAAAAGAAAATTAGGCGCTATTCAGGGTCTGCACTAGCGACATGTAGGGTTGGTACCGGACAGTCCGCGCGCGCAATATATGAGCGAAAACGATAAACATGTGCCCGTTCGACTGGGGCTCGACCCATATTTCGTTTATCCCCGTTTTGTTTTCTTTCGCCAAAATCCGACTGCTGCACCCACCGAGATGTTCGCTTGACCAATCCGCCTCCTAAGCTGGATTCATAAAAGTCCAGGACAACACCAGAACTCACCCCTGCGAAGAAAATAGCCAGTAAAAAGCTGGTTTTTGTGGTGCTGTTAAACTACAGTCCAAAAGGCTCGGTAGCTGACATTCTGCACATGCAATATATCAGCGAAAACGGTCGACGCTCGACCGTTACGTCCCCGATGGAAAGTATCGTGATAAAAGAAAGTGGGACATCCAAAAAAAAAAAAAAACAGGATGGTTATCGAGGAAAACACCAAAACACGGGAAGAGTAAGAATAATAAAACGCACGCAATCATCCTCACAGTGGAGGACGAACTCGCAGGACCCCGAATCCAGAACGGAGGACGGAGACAAGCCGCGTCCGCATCCACATCGGGAGTACACGAGAATAGTGTTAGCGCCCAACACCAGCGAAGCACGCCTCTAATGCCAGGAACCAAGCGCGCTCATAAAAGTAAGGCAGTACATCGGGTGAGCGGGTGGGCGATAAAGCGCGACTTGGGTAGGCGAAAAAGAACACGCCCAATGCGCCGTATCAAGGAGCAGGCACTGTAGAGCAGGTAGGCGAGCCACCAATGCAAACCAGGAGTCGCCACGGACGCCCAAACCCGAGGCAAGCCGCCAATCCTGATATGCGAGGATGCATGCACGTTGCCTGACACATGAGCCGATCCGACTCGACTCGATGCGCCGGTGGCAGATGGACTCGACTCGACGCACAATCCCAATCGTGCACTCCAAGAAAGCCCGCCTCCCGCAAATCAACTCCAAACTCCATAGTAACTCCATCCACAACGGCGGACATGAACGAAAAGCCAACGCGGATATAGATGAGAAGCCTAACGCGGATGTATGTCGATTGAAAAGGCAAGGATGTAGATGAAAAGGAACAAAAAAAGTGGGGCAGAAAGAATGCACCAACGCCTGCTGCAACCAATACGCGATCTGGCTCAAATAGTATCTCCATCGGGCCCGAGAGGCGGTTGGGCGGGTAGTCGAGCCAGAAGTGGGCCGTGAGGGGGTTGACCGCGGAGGAGACGGGGGTGGTGGATAGGGTGTACTGCGCGAGTGTCAGCGAGCGGAAAAGATGGATGGCCTGCAGCACTACACACCGCCCGCCGCAAGAACAGATAACAAGAAAGCAACGAGCACTCACCACCCCTAAACCCCACCACCAAAAAATACATAACCGCCTACCCCTGCTCCCCAAACTACGCCACTTTCCCTGCATTCCGTATCCCCCACTTCCACACTGGCATCAGGACGCTCAGCATGAGCCGTAGGAACGAGAACAAGAAGATGCTGTACACGAGTAGCGCGAGGTCGCCCGGCCCTTTGAGGTACAGATGCGTCGTCTCCACGAGCTCGGGCGCACGACTGCTGTTGAGAGGCGCTCCGAGGCGGACGTGGGGTGCGAGGGGAGGAAGGAGGTGAAGGGGCTGCCCACTCCATGAAGCAAGGGAGGGAGGTACAGGCGCAGGAGGGGGAGGCAGAAGTGCGTGGGGAGGGCGAGGAGCGGGGGGAGCAGGAGCAGGTGCACGGCTGAGGCAGGGCCGACGACCCAGCGGAGGCAGATGCTCACATCCTTCACCGGTACCTTCGGCATCGAGGACTTGGGCCCGCACACGAAGGAGGTTTTAGGGCAGGTTGGCGAAGATAGGGCAATGGCGGGTGGAAGGATGGGAGAATTGGAGTTGCTGTCTGTGTCGTTGTGAGGGGACAGTGCGACCAGGTGGTGTGAGGGGTTACTGCAATTAGGTAAGCTTTGCATAGGAAAAGAGGAGAAGATTTACTCGAATCTTGCTTTTGGCGCAGAGCAGGCTGTGGATATCATTTTGAGGATGGTAAAGAGCAGAAGGAAAGAAAGAAGTTTGACAGGCTGTGTACTTTGATCGTACCAGTGATCGGGCTTGGAGGTGCCGCTTGGGTGCCGCTGTTCCCCGTTCATCTCGGCATTTTGCTGTGCACAGCATTTACTACTCCCCGCTCATTCCCATACCCGCCAGCCTGTGGTCTGTACGGTGATAGGGTGTGCTCCCAGGCACACGTAAAACCACAGTTTTTATTCATTTTTGAACTATCTTACGGGACTATGTGAGGCTTGGGAACAGAGCGTACACTCACCTCAGAGTGGTAGGCTACGCTGTTGACAGTCGAAAGTCAGCGGGTCACTCCGGATAACAGCTTAACAATGACTCTAACCAAGTCAAAGTTCTGCTAATTAAACCACAACCGTTGAGCTCTGGGAAGTAGCTAAACACTACTTCTTTGAGTACTAGAAGCGAACAAGAGGAATTATTGAAGTCTTAGAGTTGGCCGCTGACGTGGAGAACCATACAAAACTATGGAACACAACCGATACTGATAAGTACAAGTCAGCGGGCGACTCTTGCATCCTAACGAATGCATTAGTTCAACCGCGGGAGACGACTACTAACTAAAGATGTGATATGGCAGAACATGTCAGAGTCAGCGGGCGATCCTCTTAAAGGGTATATTGACCGGTGAGGATCGCCGGGTGACGTTTGACATATTGATTGATATACTGATTGTGTCGGGGATTCGTTCCCCAGCGACTACTTGATACGAACACTACCTTTTGGAGTGGCCCGCTGACTGCGGTACCACTCCGGGCGACTTGGAATGAGATGAAGTAACTCTCTGAAAGGGACTTAACAGTCGCCCGCTGAACCAGACAGAGTCAGCGGGAGAGTTTCTGGTTAATCACGAGATGATACAAAAGCGCTGCAGTTACCTAGACAATGAGCACGCCATAGCACACCACGAGGGTGTGGCCAGGAGAATCATGTGGTGTATCTCCGGGAGAAGAACTTTATACCCACAGAAGTGAATACCGCATTTCCTATTGGTTCATAACCTCCCGGGGACCACGTTGGTCTCTGTTCCGAAAGTTTCCTTTTATCTCCTTTCATGCTCCCCAGTTTGTATAAAAAGCCTAGTAAAATACTTGTAAGGGCAGTAGACTATCCCCCGGGAAAAGGGCAATATAGTGGACTCAGAGAATGGAACAGACAGAAATCAGTCAGATATCAGAAAGATTCGATATAGTTGGAGAAGCCTACGTGAGCTTACAGCCTTCAGTTATAAGTGCACCGTCATCGCGAGACGCATTGCCCGCTGACCGCCGGCCATTCAACCCTACCCTCCATTGAGAGCGTAGGTTCTAGAGTGGAAGATGCCCCGCTGAATCGGTTCACCCGTCGACATAGCCCGCGTTGGTTGAGGTCGGCCGCTGACGCTGAACACTGCTGGTTTCTCAAAGTCAATTACTCCGGGCCACGCACTAGCCTTGTCGAAATCAGAATTGTCGTCCCCCGGTGACTCTGCTATAAGAATTAGTGTTCATCCACACTATTGAAAAGTGAACACATCTTGAAGGGTTTCTTAATCCTACTTCCCCGAACACACACACACACGAGTATTGAGATTTGGAGTTTGTGATTGATATTAGATTTTGGATTTGTTGGGTTATAGTGATTTGTTTGCTCCAGCTCACTTATTTGGATCTTTTGATTTCACGGCTGCACCCCAGTGCACCGTTTCAACGGCGTTGCCTAGCATGCCGATTTAGTTCCGAGTGCGGCAAGAGCCCGCAATAAATTGTCTAAAATTGTTCTCTTGTGCGTGGATTCGGTTTTATTTGGATTTTATTCCAACTTTTGCCTAACTATTCACAATTCAACTATCCTGAGCTCTGCTTGTCGCACATTCAACCCTCTGAGTTCAGAGTGGCCCCTACACAGCACTACGAGCCCGACCATTAAAAAAAACTGCCGAGTCCAGAAGATGCTACTCTCGGACGTACTTCACATGCACGCTGCGTTGCAAAAGGCGATTTACATCTAATAGGATACACTAACACCATTCTCACGGCGGATGGTCGTACTAGAACCATTTACCCCTGAAATCTGCCCATGCAATCTCGTTTATTGATTACTCGAAGGACTGTTAGAAGAGCTTCCTACAGGATGTGTGGATGCGGAACCTTCCCTACACCGGCTCGGTGGTGTATGGTCCACACCTGCTTACTTCCTTGCTTTCTTCTTGTCACAGACCCTCTTCTGCCCGTGAAAATTTAGCTTTAACTCTACACTACGTTAGATATAGTCCACAAGGTCTACCACTACATCAGCTATCCCTCAACTTGTCACATAAATGCACCACATCCTACCCTCCATTCCATTCCAAGTATCGTGTAATCTAAGACAGAGAATTTGGGAGTGCGCGCATGCCGTCGAAAGATGCAACAGATATCAGCCTTCCCAATTAGTTGTGCATCGGCTCGGTGGCGGATGGTCCGCACCTGTTACGAAAATGCAAGACACACCCATTCGATCGGAGTTCGAGCCGTACACTGAGGATATCCATGCCTTTTTTTTGGACTTTCATCGCCCAATATCTTGCTAGATCTCCGCATTTGTTCCTCCAATTCTTTCATGCCAATTTCTTGTTGGATTTGTTAAAATGCTCAACTAAACAAGGTTTCGAATGCTGGGTTGAAAATTCTGTCTTGAAGACTGCTATATAATGCAGCCCCATACCACTCTCATACCGGCTCGGTCGTGGATGCCGTGTCTGCAGCAGATTGTGCTCAGTGATGATCCCTTATTACAAGGGACGCCCGATCGACTCGGGCCTGAGCCA